TTCCTCCATTTCTCGGAACTGGTCATCCCACCCAAGGGACAGGGATTAAGATAGGAAAGTTCTAGAAGGAAATGGAATAATAGGACAAAGGATAGAAGGAAGAAACTAAACTAAACTTAAATTAATATACAGTATATACAAAATATAGCATATAGCTACAATAACACTATGGCTATTGTCTCAAAATATTGCTCATATTCAATAAACTATATGAAAATGACTGACTAATCTAACTTGACAAACTTCCAAGCCTAAAGAAATGGTAAAAATAAGTTTTATATCTATACTTATATTTATGGGGGCCGAGGGGGAGAAAAGAACTAAATTAATGATAATATGCGATATATATCGTCATGGTCTTCCTTGCCGTTTGGACTGTTGAGCGGTAAGAATCAACATGTAGAAGCAGTTCAGTCAGAGATAGATGCCTCATTTACAAACAACACAACCTGTTTATTATACATGAAAGAAGCTTACAAGATTTTCGCGATCTTGCAAGTTCGACGTCGGTTGCGGCCTCTGGGTCTTCCTCTCCTTTCCGAGATAGTCCTATTTTGAGGGAGTGTCTCTAGTTCGCGAATGAACAATTTCATTGACGACTCCAGGACAATGCGGTCTTCCATTCATGGAAAGATGTCGATCCGAGGTCGGGAGATGGAGACGAAGATGGGCGCGAGACACACACACTACAGTAGATCTGTCACTTGGAACTTTCGGGAGAAGAAGCCGTCGCGTCCTTGAATGTCCGGGTGTGGTCACCAGTTTGTGTGAGATTAATCATTAGAAACAGGGCCACATACAATTGTAGAGCTGTAATGTGGTCGAAGCACACAGGAGATAGAGGGGTAAGAGATGTAGGGCTTTACAAACAATAATTAACACGGAGAGTGAAAATCAGCAGTTTTATAGTACAAAGAAAATATCGACATACAGTTCTCGACAGCACTGGTTAACTTTCTTTAACCAGTTGTAACACGTACGGGCTGAGATTACTTAACTAATAATCCTAACAACAAAAAAAAAAACAATTCACGCAATTAATTACAATTGTTTACACTGATAGAACATATGCTGATTAATCGCTGAATAACTTCTGCTTTCGCACCTAACAAGGAAATATTCGTATCGAGGTGTTACTCACGTGTACCACTAATCAATAACAGTTCGATTGAATGTTCAATCTATGTCCTCGTATCGATGGAAAAGGATTCCCTTTTTCTTATTCTGTAACGTCCGGCCGAAACCTTTGGCCACTGTATTATTTTCTTTGTTCTTACCACGCTTCTTCCTTCTCCCTCGTAGAGCTCGAAAGCCTCCTCAGGTTTAGAGCGACAAATCTCCGAACAAAGACAAGAACAAACGTGTCTCGTTTACGGCGCTCATCTCATTTATAACACGTGCCCTCCACGTCATGTGAGCTACCATAGGCCAATAACCAGCCAATACACAAATCTTACACGTACCTCAACAAATACAATAAAAAAACTGGTGCACAACAACGGAAATAAATGTAAACACTAGTTAACGCGACAAACAAAAATAAATATAAACACTAGTTAACGTAACAAATGAGATAAGTCCTGGTACGAGATAAAAAAAAACAAAATAGTGGCAAAGCAGTACACAATAAAAGATTAACATTTATTCTATATATGAAATATGGCGTGACTGTACAGATTAAACACGGAACGATACTACATGTGTCTGGAGCGAGGTCCAAATCCAAATCCAAGGAATGTGTGATGTCATAGGTCAGGTTTGTTCAGTTGATGGGTTCCCCCTTGTGGCGACTTTGAGATTTATCACCAAAGTGGTCGCCAGAGCACTCTCTCCCGGTGCAGTAGGTACGAAGTTAAAGGTACCGGGGGTTGAATTTGACTATTCTTCCAGAACGTGCTGTCTTCATTGTATTGGTAGGCACGGAGTTATTAGGAGTGTTTATCCTTGGTCGCTCTGGGGAGTCTGGACGAGTTTGACGATGTGCTGGCATTCTCGCTGTCCAGAAATGCTGGCTTCAGTCTATCGATGTTAACCTTTGTTGTTTTTCCATTGACTAGGATCATGAAGTGCTTGGGTGTCTGCGCGGTAACTAGAAAGGGTTTATCATAAGGGGAGGTCAGAGAAGTTCTATGACCTTCTTTTTACACAAACACGTGGGAGCAGGTGTCGAGTGCTGGATGGACGAAGTGTGAAGGTTTGACATGTGTAGATGTTGGAGTCGGCGTAAGCGACTGCATCGTGGACCGTAGGTGATGTAGGAAGGATGATGGGTCTGCTGGCGGTTCCTGCGAAGGATGGAAGAACTCTACCAGGAGACGAAGGGTTGTGCCGCACACCATCTCGGCACAAGTGCCATTGATGTCTTCTTTTAATGCTGATCAAAGGCCGAGTAGGACGATTGGGAGAGATTCCATCCAGTGTTGTTTGTGGCATCTGAGAGCCTGTTTTAGCGAACGATGGAATCGTTCAACTAAACTATTGGCTGATGGATGGTATGGTGTTGTACGTATGTGTTGGAAGCCCAACATAGCTGTCAGTGAGGCGAACAGATGAGACTGGAATTGTCGGCCTTGATCGGTTGTGATGATGGAGGAAACACCGAATCTGGAGATTCAATGTGAGACAAAAGTGCGAGCGACTGTTTCAGCTGAAATGTTGTGGAGGGGAACAGCTTCCGGCCACCTCGTGAATCTATCTATGCAGGTGAGTAGATAGGTAGATCCATTTGAAGGCGGGAATGGTCCAACGAGGTAGAGATGCACATGTGAAAACCGATTGGATGGAAGGTCGAATCTCTAAAGACGGTTGTTGGGTGTGCTGATTCACTTAGGACCGTTGGCAGTTAATGCAGGAACGGGTCCAATTGGCGATGTCTTTCTGCATCGAAGGCCACACGAAATGTTCTTGGACAAGACGCCTCATTGCACGAATTCCTGGATGGGCCAGATTGTGCATGGAAGAGAAGATTCAACGGCGAAATTGGAGTGAAATATATGGGCGAACTTTGCTGTCCTTGGTGTCGCAATATAGTTGTACTGACGGGCTGATTCGAAGTGGCTGCAGCGTGAGTGCTGTTTTATTGTCCGTGAGGAGTGCGATTAGCTTGTCGTCGTTTGCTTGAGCTTCCGCAATGGCGGTAAAGTCTGTCACGGGAAGTCGAATCTTGTTGATCCGAGAGAGAGTGTCTGCTACGATGTTGTTTGAGCCAGTGACATGCTTGATGTTGGTGCTGAACTGCGCAATGTAATTGAGATGTCGCAGCTGACGTGGGGAGCAAGATTCTGGTTTTTGGCGAAAAGCGGAGGTGAGGGGGCGATGGTCGTAAAGATGACCATCTCGATGATGTCTCATCGAAAATTGAGATGAGTCTCGATTTTTGATGGTATGGTGGAAGTGCTTGATTGCGGAGTATATAGCCAGCAGTTCCCTGTCGTAGGTGCTGTACTTTATTTTGGTAGGCGTTAGTTTCTCTGAAAAGAAGGCTAGTGGACAAGTTCCTTCTGCGGTATGGGTTTGGAGTACAGTGCTGATGGCAACATTAGATGCGTCTACCATTAAAAAGAGATTGTCCTGTGATGAATAGTATGCCAGGGTCATTGCATTTGAGAGATCTGCTTTACATTGGTTGAAGGACTTTAGAGCAGATTTGTTCCAGGAGATGATGCGTTTATCATTCTTTTTTTTTGGAGTCCTTGAGAAATTCGAGTAGTGGGGCCTGAGTTTGGGCTGCATTTAGCAAAAAACGTCTATAAAAATTGAACATGGCTAAGAAGCGATGGAGCTCAGCAACAGTTTTCTTGGTTGAGGAAAATTGTTGATGGCCTTGGTTTTTGATGGCAAAGGTTTTACTTTGGATGATGTAATCATGCAGCCGAGGAATGGAACTGCTGATTTGTCGAAGATGCATTTGGATGGATTTAGTTTTAGGCCGTGGTGTTGCAAGCGGAGGAACGTTTGGCGGAGATGGTCTGTCTGTTCGTTTGCATCTTTGGACGCGACCAATATATCATCGAAATACGGGATGCAAAAGTCAAGGCCAAGTAGGACCTGGTGGATGTATCGCTGGAAGGTTTGACCAGCGTTTCGTAGGCCGAAAGGCATATTGATGTATTTGAACAAGCCAAACGGGGTTGTTATGGCTGTTTTTGGAATGTCCTTGGGGAAAACTGGTATTTGGTGATAGGCGCGGGTTAGATCCAGGGTGGAAAAAATAGTTTTGCCTTCTAGGAGTTGAGTACAGTCCTGTATATGAGGAACAGGGTAGTGGTCATGGACGGTTACAGCGTTGAGATGATGGTAGTCGCCACACGGTCACCACTGGCCATTTGCTTTTTTGACCAGTGGGCTGGCCCAGGGGCTTTTGGATGGTCTGATGATGCCTTGGGACATTAAGAACCGAAATTCTTCCTGTGCTGCTCGAAGCGTATGTGGTGGTAACCATCTGGGTTTTGATAAGACAGGTGGTCCTTTAGTCTCGATGTGATGAAAGGTGATTGGCGTTTTCTTGGTTTCGGGGATTATCGACGGATTTGTGATGGTAGTGAACTCGGCCATGATACGGTGGTAGGGAGAGTCATTAGTCACAGTGGTGATGTTAGTGACAGTTGTAGGTTGGTTCTGCCAGCAACCAGGAGACTTTAGTTGCATGACTCCATTGATTAGTCGATTGTTTTTAACGTCCACTAGTAGGTTGAATTTAGTTAAGAAGTTGATTCCTATGATGGGTTGGGTTACGTCAGCGATTACAAATGGCCACGAAAAATTCCGCTTTAAGTTAAAGTTGAGTGTTAATAGTTTTGTTTCGTAAGTTGAAATAGGCGTTCCGTTTGTAGCAAAGAGGACTAGCTTGTTGGGTTTGCATAAATACGTGTTAGAACTTTTCGGGATAATGGAGATGTCGGCGCCTGTGTCAATTAGGAATTTGTATTTTGTAGTAGGGTCAGCCATGGTGATTCGATCAATGTGGCAGGTGAGGCTTCTGGCCGTAAGCGCCCGCCTAGTCAGTTTTCCGACAGTCGGAAGGAGCAAGGGGCTTTGCATTTTTTTGCCTGCTCCCCAAAAGTAGTGTGGTAGTAACACATGCCGTTGTGGGGGATGCTGTGCTGTTGATTCTGCCGCGATTTGCTGCTGCACCTTCTGTTGTTGGGAGGGTAATCAGAATGTGGGAAGGAGCAGCGTTGGTTGTTGATGGATATGGTGAGGTAATTGACCTGCTGGACTAATTTAGCAACCTGGTTCTTCAAGGTGGAGGTAGTGGCAAGGTCATGTTTGACCGTTTGAATGTGAGCGGGGGAGACTAATTCCATTATTTTGTTGGCCATGGTGGCCTGTTGTTGGAGTTTTTCCTTAGATGCAGCTAAAATGGTTTGTACGTTATGAGGTAGTCTCGACAGCCAGAGAGATTGTAGCAGGTCTTCGCTGAAATGGTTTCCGGCCAAGTCGCGCATCCGTGATTATAGGAAGGATGGACGTTGGTCTCCCAGTTCCAACCCTTGAAGAAGCGTTCTGATTTTGGAGGTCTTGCTCTCCGAATAGACGTCAATGAGAGAAGCCTTTAGCGTGGAAAATTTATTCTGGTCGGGCGGGTTGAGGATTAGGTCCTGCACTGAATTTAAACTTTCCGGCTCTATTGCAGCAACGACTAATTTAAATTTGGTGTCGTCCACGGTTATGTTATTTATCGAAAATTGTGCTTCCAACTGAGCAAACCATAAGTTAGGGTTGCCCTTTCAGAAGGGAGGGGGTCTGATCGCAATGCGTGCTATGTGACGGTGATCGTCATTAATTTCTGCCTCAGCCATGATGATTTTTTTTACGTAGATGTGGCAGTGCGGAGGTAGTTATCCTTAAATGATGCGTTGTGCGCTCAGTTCAGCACGTGGGGAAAGGACAAAGAACGATGGCACGTAAAGGCACGTGGCGAGGGAACAAAGAATGGCATGTGGCGCGAGAACAAAGAAGGGTAGCACGTAGTGTACTATACCTTTTCGTTGAAAAAGTCGACCGTCGACGAAAAATTATCAGTGGTTACACGTTTCGAAGGTCTAGCTGTATGAGTTGGCAGTTCCAAAAAAGGATGAAAGTCCAACGTTGTATCCGATGCGAATGGATGGAATTTTCATGTCGCACGATAGAGGGTAGAGGCACCATAAAACATATATCATGTTCGGGTCACCAATTTGTGTGAGATTAATCATTACAAACAGGGCCACATACAATAAAAGATTAACATTTATTCTATATATGAAATATGGCGCGACTGTACAGATTAAACACGGAGCGATACTTTTAAATTAATTAAAGTTTATTAATGACAAAAAACAGATACATGACATCAGATGTACTGATGTAAAGCCATACAGAAGTAGCAACTTCGACATAATACACAAAAAGCCGATATACCCTTAAGGATTAAATATTTACATATATATACAGAGGTGAGTATAGCGGTTTAACATTACGTAGCATTTCAACAGTAACATTCCATATTGTGTGTACAACAGGTTCTGCTATAGAGCAGAGAATGCCCGAGTAGTACAGAATTAGTTTTGAGGGTAGGTACTCTATATACATATATTTAGCTGAGATTCGCGACATATTGTAATGATGACTTTAGGCCACTCAACTGCCGTACGTCCAGAGAAAACACAGTGGGAGCACTTGTAGGTTACAATTAAGTCCAATTGTCTTTAAAAAGATAGTTGTTATTTATTTCCTTCTATATTTTATTGATTTCCCATGATAGAGTGTAGTAAAATCTTTCTCTGTGAGGAGAGTTTTGTCACTATTTATCTTTATGTTTGCCTCGTCTTTTATTTTTCTGATGCATAGGGTGGAGTTCCACCTTTTGTTGTCAAAGTGAAGAGCACATCTTGCTTTCGAAATGGTTTTTTTGACGAGTGCAGTCATCCAGTTGAGGCTGTAGTTATTATATTCGGTTACAGGAAGGTCAGTATGATAAATGATGTTATTTCAGGACATTGTAATATTAAAGATGTTGTGTAGCCACGTCCATATTTTGTTGGCAGTGGGGCACTCGTAGAAAAGATGGTAGGTACTCTCATCTTTGTTACATTTCGGGCACTTGGCACTCCTGAGAAGATGATATTTATGAAGAAATTCCTTCGTCATAGTGACGTTGTTTATTATACGCCAAGTGGTTTCTTTCCACTCTGAAGGAAGCCTTCCTACATTGATCCAGCATTCCTTCCAGTTGGTCGTTTTATCACTTAGGTTGGTGTTAGGGTTTTGAACAAATATGCATTTGTAAATTATACATGGTTTTATATTATCCATTAAGATGTTGGCAGACAGGAGGTTATTGATGGTGGATCTCCATACGCTGTATTGTTTATTATTGTCCAGCAGAAAAGGTTTATTTGAGGGGTTCTTTGTGATATGTTTTGTAATGGGTCCCAGAATGTACTCTCCCAGATTGCATAGAGGGTGTTGTTGATGATGAATCGTGTTTAGAAGGATAGATAGTTGCAAGGACTGTTCAAGGGATTTTATATATGTGGCTTTCCTCATTCTTCATTATTTTTCTGCTTAGCGGTTCGAATTCTTTTTGCCAGATGTAGTTAAATATTAACTTCTCGATGGCATTGGTGTCCTTTTCATTTATGTCGGTAGTATAGAGGTTGTACATGATTTTTGCACAAAGTACCTTGTTTGCTATAATGACTCGTTCTGGCATATATAGCCAGATCTTTTCCCATGTTTTTATGGCACTTGTTATTTTGTTTTTCATTTCTTTTATATTGTTTTTATTTTTATCTTTCCCATACCAAATGCCCAGGATTTTTTTACTATTGATTTTCTTAAAATTATTGCTTTCAAGGTAGTTATGGCCAACTATTTCGACAATGTTGCTTTTGTTTTTATTTATTTTCATGCCAGTCAAGTTGCTGAAGGTGTTAAGTTTTGAGGTTACTTTGTTAAGAGAGACATTATCGGAGCGATACTACATGTGTCTGGAGCGAGGTCCAAATCCAACAGGAATGTGTGATGTCATAGGTCAGGTTTGTTCAGTTCAGGGGTTTCCCCTTGTGGCGACTTTGGGATTTATCACCAAAGTGATCGCCACACCGGGATTTTATCCGTCTTCTTTCGATTCCACTTGTCGATTGGTCTTTCCCTGTCACCTGATGGAAAAAACCAAAATTTAATTTTAACTAAAATATGTTTTTTAAAGCACACAATTATTATATTTTTAATTGTGTTGCTGTCTCACATTGACAGAGAAGCCTACCAGAGGGCGCTGAGCTTGGAATTATGGCAAGTTGGTCTCTGTTTTAAATTGAATTTTTTCGTAATTTTTTTTAATTAAGTGAATCGTATCATATATTGTTTGGAAGCGTATAAAATAAGGATTAAAACGAGGTCAAGATCAAGTCTGTGGGACTTATCATTTTTGAATTACGGACGTTCTAATACACGACAATTTTTCGGATCATCTATCCGGAAAGCTTGGTTCGCTTATCCGGATCTGAATACGGATTCATACTCCCAATTCAACTGTGAGTAATGTCAAAAATTTTAGGAGGTCTAAGTTAAAGAGTTTTCGAGTTATTAACTATTTCAGGTTGAAAAGAGTTTTAATGTTCTAATTGTAACCATGGCAACAGACCTTTCGATTAAAAAAAAAAAAAATAATAATAAAGGAAATATTAAATATTAGCTTGTACTATATAAAATTATTTAAGTAATTTGTTTTTAAATGCGAATTTTATTTTATATAAATTTGTAATATTAAGTGCCTGAATTATTGGTCTGTTTATGATGATGATGGAAAATAGTATTGACACTAGAGAAGAACTCCGAACATCGGCATTAGAAATAATTGAAGAGCTAAAAGCCTATATCGCTGAAAATTATGGTGGAAAAATTAGTACACCAAAACATTCAGACTTCATAGTGAATTGTTTGGAGAGGGTCATAGATATTTTTATGGAAAAACCATACAGGCACGAACTAAGGATCCTGTCTGATAAAGTTGATTCGCTAATTGGACAAGTTGCCTCAACTGAAAGTATTGATATTCAAAGAAAAGTTCTGGAAAAGGTCTCAGATCTTGAGTCCAAACATAAACAACAAGAAAATCGTCAGACATATAGTGCTATTCTTCAACGACCACCTACAAAATTTAATAGCATGCAATTCAAAAAACGACCAAAAGAAGTCCTTCTCGTTTATGGAAAAGATGAAGTACATAAAAATAGTGATATAGTACAAAAGGTTATACATGAAAATATTACACCATCACACATTAACATTGGAGTTGAACGTATTAGAAAGATTACAGGAGGTGGACTTGCCATTGAATTGGGAAGAGCTGAGGACGTGAAAATTTTGGAAAATAATATACAAACGAAAATTCCTAATCTTATTACGCGACGACCCAAGAAAAAATTACCACACATTATGATGTACTCTGTTCCAACGTCTATAGCACGTGAATCCATTCCTTCATATATACATGACTAAAATGAGTTACTAAGAGAAAAATACACATTAGAAAATTTTAATACTCAATTTAGAATTAAATTTAATGCTGGAAGGAAAGATAGTCCTTACAGAAACTGGGTTATTGAAGTATCACCAGACCTTAGAAGAAATATTCTTAATCTTGGAAAGGTCAACATCGAATGGTCAAGATGTAGGGTGACAGATTTTTGTTTAGTTTTACAATGTCTCCGATGTTGCAGATATGGCCACTCAACAAAAACTTGTGATCAAACGATTAACACCTGCAGCCACTGTGCAGGAAATCACTTATTTCGTGACTGCAAAAATCGTAATAGTACACCAATATGTTGCAACTGCAGATTTGAGAGAGCTAATAACACATCCCACAATGCCTGTAATGGTTCCTGTCCGGTATTCCGAAGAATAAAAGATAAAATCATCAATAACACTGATTATGGACCACACACAGAATAGTATAGTACGAATACTACAAATAAACCTTCGTAGAAGTATTGCTGCTTCTTCTACACTTAACACAAAATTAAAACATTATGATCTCATATTAATTCAGGAACCATACTTTTATAATAATAATAATTGCTTTCCTACAAATTGTATACTCTTTAAGGGTACGTCTGGTTACCCCTGGGCAATCTCTCTTATTGTTGATACTTCTTTAGCTATTCTTTTTCATAAAAAATTTAGCGATGAACATATCATATGTTTTGAGCTTTTAAAAGCCGATACTAGAGTTATATTTGTTAACATCTACTGCCCTCGGGAAACTCNAATGCAGATATTCAATGTCATCTGTCAAACATGTAAATGTTACGGTATTAATTTACGGTATATATCTTATGTAAATGCATTGATGCACATTACTTCATATTCCTGTGTTCAACCTTAAACATGTATAAACTGGTTATGCTATTGCGGTACCAGTGATGCAATAATGTTGCATTAATAAAGAGATTGTGTG